ACAATGTACCAGGCACAGTAATGAGTGCTTTACATTCATTATCTCACTTTATTCTCCTAATAAGCCTCTGAAGTTGTACTGTTAATTAGCTCCATTTTACAGATAAAAAGCCAAGGTTTGGGATGGTAAGTAAATTTTCTAAGACAATACAGTTAGTAAGTTGTGACACCAAGATTTGAATTTAAGTCATTTGGACTCCATAGCCTGAGCTCTTAACCATTACACAATACAGCCCTCCAGGAGTAATCCTATGTCCACCTTCCAAGAGCATCTCACAATGGACTCCTGAGATACATTGAACACAGTAAATGATGGCAAGTGGTATTCAAGAGCACTTTCTTCGTTGAAATTTAAGGTTAAAAAGAATTAGTTTGGAGCCTAACTGTTAGGACTTAATTCTTGATCAGGGAAAACACCTCCAGAGGGAGGCAATAAAAAGTCTAAGACCCCATTGTGAAAATCAAGCAGTCCACACTGTATTGCATATTGTGTAAGATTTTGAAAAACATGTATTGTGGGGTAAGCCAAATGCTGAACAAGACACAGAATCACACACCAGGTCCTGCCCACACTGGGAAGGCAGCCAAGAATGACTGCCACCTCCATTCCAGAGAGGGCGCCCTACACTAAAGGACACAGAGAGGACCCCTCCCCCTTTAGAGGCTGCTTGCTGTTTCTCAAACTGTGGGAGTTTGCTAGTAAGTAAACAAAATAATAGTACTTGTGTAATTTTCAGTGTGATTCAGAATCAGGGAAGCAATAAGCCCTTGGTACTTATTTATAAAAGACATCACAAACACTGGATGTCCCAAGCAGCTGAGGGGAAAAAAAGCTTTTCAGAAAAACAACACTCTGAAAAGTAGTTCTAAGGCTTGTTTCACTGATCATACCCTCTTTGTTTTCTCATGTATGACTCAAAATTTTAAACAATGAACAAAAGCCAGATGTGAACAGAAACTAATACGCTACTGTTTGAGTTAATGTGGATCAAGAATAAAATGGAAAACAATTTTAAAATCACAGATAATCTGTTATGATTTGAATTATGTTCCTCTAAAATATGTTGTAAATCCTAACACTGTGGTTAAAATCACATTTGGGAATAGGTTTTCTTTGTTATATTAATGAGGCAGTATCAGTATAGAGTGTGTCTTACATCAATCTCTTCTGAGATATAAAAGCAGATTAAGAAAACAGGAAGAAACAGAGATAGGTGAAGGTAGACATCATGGCACATGAAGATCGCCAAAGAGCCAAGGAATAAAAACTGAAGAGACAAGGACCTTCCCTTAGCGCCAAAAGAGAGTAAGACTTTTCCAAGAGCCAGTGCCCTGAATTTGGACTTCCAGTCTCCTAACTGTGAGAAAATAAATTTCTGTTTGTTAAAGACATCCACTTGTGCTATTTTTGTTATAGTAGCATTAGATAACAAAGACAGTCCCCAAATCCCATTTCATCTCCCCTTTTAGATATTTTACAGAAATGCTAATAAGTTGTCAATGAGTTGTCAATAATTGCTTTATTGAGCATCTGCAAGGTGCACAGCACTGTACATTGTTTCAAAATGTCCAATTAACTTTTGTCACACCCTCTGTAAAGCCTTCTCTGATGTCCATGGTTTTTGTGGCTTTTCCTCCTGTATGCCAAAGAACAGCTTCTAGTAGTACTCTTATTATAGCACATACCAGGACATGTTACAAAAATCTATTGCACCATGTGTTTTTCCCACTAGATGCTGAACTCCTCAAAGATGAGCTGTTCATGTCCCACTAGATTCTGAACTCCTCAAAGATGAGCTCAAAGTACTGTTCATGTCTGCAACTCTGGTGTTCAAGACATTTGATGGATGAATGGACGATTGAACAAATGAAGAGTACTTCACTTTGGTTCCTTCTCTTAAATCTCAAGTCTGCATTTAGGGGGAAGTGCTGATGCTGAATGAGAAACCAGAATTCAAAAGTCACAACTGAAGAGGAGTGTCTAAAGGTATGGCTGAACCACAGACAAGAATGTCAGTGCCACAATCATGAAGGTGGTTGCCCTCCCCAAGGTCCTGAGGATATAACAGAGCCATAGCAAACTCTTCAAACCAGAGGTGGGGTTCATAAACCCAAACGGTTGCCTCAAAGCCCAATGTAACTCACTGGGAACAGTTCAGCCAGGTTACATGCTGGGTTCCAGGCCCAAGGCAGCCTGTTCAGTCAACAGAGACATAGCCAACACAAGCAGTCTAGCTACCTAGCCTTAAGGATATTTTTGCTTTACTCTTTTCCCAGATTCCCAAGACAGTCACACAAAAATAAATAGTCAGACACCAAAAGACTCTAAGTGAAAAGAAGACATGTCTAAATGGCTCTACAGAGGCATGGTTTGGATCTTCTTGTCTCTTGCATGATGCCTGGGGGCTCGGGCTGCTGTAGATGCCTCCTTTGGGCCTTTCAGAATGCAAATATTACGAGGCAATAACAGATTCCATAGGATGCAGTGGCATGTGCAAGGGTGGCTGTCTAAATCACACATGCCAAATTCATTTGATTAGTCAAAGTCTGGGTGATTTTTTTTTTTTATGAATTTGAGAATTCTGCTATGGTCCAAGGAGGCAGGTGAATAGTAGCAGACACACCACATTATCTGACATTCCAGGTGTGACAGGATATGTGCAAAAGACCTTGGCTTCTCATCTGGCATCAGCTCATCATGAAACTGAAAGCAAACAGTTGCCTCTTCTGCCTCAGATTCCTTATCAAATGAGGGTTTTTAGCCAAACTGTCTCTGTAGTCACTTCTAAGATTTCCCTTTTTCCACCCAGCAAGATTCTTGACTCATCCTTACCAAGGAAAAACCTCCATTTACCTTCACACTGCTGAAACAAAAGAAGGCCCACTACAGACTTTTATGCTTACAGAGTATTTGTAAAATACTGCTTAAGATTATTTAGATAAAACTACTACACATCTCCAAATCATGGACTGATCTAATGTCATACCCCCCAACTTGGCATCACATATCCATCAAAATAGCAGCTCTGCTATTTTGGCTGCTGTTCTACTTTGGGTCCAATTCAACTATCTTTCTGCAAAATTGATTCACACTACACAAACGGTTCTCATCAACAAACCTGATGCAAATGGTTGACACATCATTTTCTCCTTAAATGTTTTGCCTTTCTCAATACCTAATTTTTGCATCAACCTTTCTGATGACTGGTGGCCTGCACCCTCAAGGTCAGCAGTTTATACTTGGCCCTTTTCTATCTCACACCAACTCTTTAGAACACTCAGAAAAAAATCTAGGAGATTCTATCCCAGCTGTGGAAGGCAGGGCAAAGTTTGGGAGATACTGCTTTCTCCTGTGACCATTTTCAGTGCAAGATTTAAAAGGACAAGTGCTTGACCAAAAAAATTGGGGATTACTCTCAAGTTGAACTTGCCTTAATGGGAGAGCTATCATTTCCAGTCTCAAACACACTATAAAAATCATTTCCTAAGAGGTAATGACTCTAAGTATTTTTATATATAGTTTTTTTTTTTCTCAAAATCACTGGGTAATTTTGTGTGTGCTATGTGTAGCTTATATATATATACATATATATATATATATATATACACACACACACACATATACATACACACATTGTTGTTGTTGTTGTTATTTGCCATCGAGTCGGCCCTGACTCATAGCGACCCCTCCTTGGGTTTCCAAGGCAGTATCACTACGGAAGTAGGAATGCCCAACCATACATATATGCATATACATATACTAAAACAATTATTTAAAGATAAAGTTTGAGTGGTTCAGTGTATTGGGTACTTGCTTGATATATTAAGAAAAGGTGATCTAGTATGTTGCAGAATATGAATACTCTTCATATTAGCTCAGTGTGTAGGTCTCTGAACTCAACCTTCTCAACTAGAGCTTTAACATATAACAAGTTAGTGCAAGATTGGGTGGAGATGTCCAAGGGCTCCCACCCTTGAGTTTTCTTCCTTACACCTGAGAAGACTGTATGTTCAAGGAACAAAAAAATCTTTGCTCTTGCATTTTCACTTTGTCATGCTACATGTGGCAAAGCACAGAGCAACAAAAATGTCTATCATTTTTTAAAAGAAAAGTGCATCAAAGTTTAACTCAGTAATCATGGAAAGCTAAGGGATACAGGCAGTCCCCAGGTTACAAACAAGATCAGTTCTTACATGTGTCTTTAAAGCCGAATTTGTAGGTAAGTTGGACCAGGTATACAGAGTCCTTATTTAGCCTTACTTTAGTGCAAGAAAAAGCTCAAAGTCTTTTCAGTGATTTAAAGCTGCACATGAAGCAAGTGAAGGTGATTGTGATAGAGGATTTGTTGCAAATAGGGGTTGGTTCAATCATTTCAAAGTGAGGGCAAATTACATAACATCAAAGGGCAAGCACAAATTGCTGAGCTGTCCATAAATCAGATGTTTGTGCCCCAGGGACGGCCTGCAGCAGATACTCTAATCCCAGCCTAGAAAGTTATCTCAATAGAGAGGCATTGTCTGCACTTCACCAAGTTCAGCTGAGTTGAGGACAGAAAGAAGCAAGTGCTAACAAATTGGCCAAAGATATTAACTCGGTTTTGCCTCGTCTCAGGGAGTTAATACATGGAGTAAGATTTGTTTCCTCTTTTCTCAAAAAGCCTTTAGTTTAAAGTTATCTTCTTTCTAATTCCCTACTTCCTTGTAATTTTTAATTATCACAAACGAACACCAGATTATCTCAGGGCTCACCTGTATCAGAGTAAATAATTGAAATTACTAATGGCTTGAAAGTTTCCACATATCACTGGAGGTACATAGCAGATTACCCACACATAATCCTACCTTGAATATTTCTCTTGGGTCAAGTTTAAATTGCACCATCTTCCTTTGCAAAAAGAGGCAGACACCCCTACCAAAGGTCTAAGGTAGTAACTGACTCAACAGAAACCCACTGTAAAGACAAAACATTCCAGATTTCTCTATGAAAAATAAAATAAAATAAAATTCACTGTGACTGAACACTATTAGTTATTTTAGTTCTATAACTCCCCAGAATTGTCAAAAGTAACCTTGTAGCCGATCCGTTTGCAGATACCAACAACAACTTGAAATAGATTACCCACGGTGCCAAAGGCAGTGTCAAAGAGCAGAGAGACAGTGCCACCGAGGCCCACAGCAATGTCCTTACACACAATTGGAACAGCACTCATGGTATACACAGGGAAAGTGGCCACATCCACAAGGACTCGGATGGGGATGCCCAGAATACGGCAAACAGCCTTCAGCAGACAACAAAGGATCCGGAGAACAGCCCTGATGATCTTGACCACTACCTTAAGCACCTTCCAGGGAATGCTCACCAGCTCTTCCCCAATGGCCATGAAGTATGAGATGGTGGCTGAGCCCAGACGGTAAAGGCAACTTTCTATGGTATTTATCACCTCCTTGGTAATGTACCACAGGAAACAGATAGTGTACTTTAGGATTTCTACCACAAGGTAACAAATTAATTGGAAAAGCTTGATGAATGGGGTAGCAATGATGCCCATCAGTTTTCCCAAAAGGCTACTACTTTCCTCAGGGGCCTCTGGAGGCAACAGATCAGACCTTTTATTCCTTGTGCTGGAGAAGGGAACAGAGCTCTCTTTAGATTGCACTGTCCGCTCTTCATCCTGCACTTGGTTAACCATTTCCAGGATTTTCTTCATTTTCTCTGTGTCTTGCTCAGTTTCACCACAGTTATTCTGGAACAGCTGAGGGTGAGATGGAAGCAGTTTCTCGAGATCCTTCACCATCACATCTTCAATAACATCACCATTCCGGGTATGCTTGACAAAGCCCATAGCCCAGCCTCCAGGAACAGCACAACAGGCTGCCAGCCAGACAAACTCGGGAAGCGTCACTCTGTCTTTAACTTTGTGGTCTGAGGGCACCACGCCGGTGATGATGTATAGGTCTTCCCCATTACCGCACTGCGGAGCCAAGGCCCGGTCCATTAGGCTCTTGAGATTCATGTACCACCGTTCCCTGAAGGCCAGGGTCATCGGAACTGCATTTGTGAGGGTGAATGTGTCCATCTGGGAATCACTGCTAAAGGAGAACGGGTACAGCTGTCCTCTTTGATAATCAGAATCCAGGTAATCTGTATTCAGGGCTTGCTTGCTCCCCAGAGTTTTCACTGAGGTGATGGCATCAGCTTCATTACTCACCTCTTTAAGGCTGCTGCTGGGGTCATCGATCTGAAAGAGAGAACAAGTGTTGAGATGCCCGCTGGTGCACATCAGAGAAGACACACGGGGCTCATTCTGCTGAGATTCTAGAGAAGTCTCTATGCACGTTCACTTCTAATGAAAGCTGGGTTCTCTGGCACATGCATACTTCATCCAAAATATCCCACAATTCTGGTGTTTGAAACACTTCTTTCAAAAAGGCTGTTTTCTATTTTACTCCATGTGTATACCCCATCCCTGCTCTGCAGTACTCCCTTCACCCCAAACATGCACACACAAATATACTATCCTGGCATTCATTTTTAATCTGTGTGGTTTTACAAATTTCACAGTCCTGTTTTGAAATATTTTCCCATGGGATTCAAGTTAGGTATCAAAGTAAAAACAAAGGAAAAGCAGATTTCAACAAGCACGTAGAAATGAGAACTATAATTCAGATCCATGGAGTCTTGGCTTTAAGTCAAGGATTTTAAGATACATGTCTCCCTGTGGTTAATCAGTGCACTGTATCTGCATTGAACTCAGAGCAACTCCTTCACTCCCTCTAAGGGAAGTCTGGAGACGTTTTTTAATTGAAAGAACATAGAGAAAAAAGAACACTGGTGTGTCTTCAGCCCAAGCACTACCTACCAGGGGTGAAACTGCCTACAGCCTGGGACATAAGCAGGAAAGATAGCCTCTCAGAGGAGGAAGGGGAAAGAGGCAAAAGAGAGGCAAGAGGAGAGAAGAGGAACAATAGGAGAGTTGTGTGTGTGTGTGTGTGTGTGTGCGTGTGTGTGTGTGTGTGTGTGTGTGTGTGTGTGACCAACACAATGTTTATCTTTTAGGCAGAAACCCAGGCTGTGAGTTGATTTACTCTCAAACTTCAAAACAAGGTCTCTGAGCTGTGGAGGTCAGAGGAGAGTTTGCTGGTTGCTTCTGCATCCTCACAGGCCACTTGGGTACAAATTTCTGCCACCGCCAAATGCCTGGCAACCAGGTTAAATCTTGTCTGCCTCCACTGCACAGGTATGTGGCAAATGGGTCAGGAGGGAACCCAGGTGACTGGGAAGGTCAGGACCCAATGCTACTACATGCTTTGTGTACCTCTCTACCCTAAACCTCCCTAGACATAACAGTAACTATCTGCAGATGCTCTGTACATGAAGGGAAAAGACAGTATACCTTCCTTACCCTTCTCCTGCTTCCTTTAGAACCCCATATCTATGGTCACTGTATTTTTTGAACCCCAAATATGGCCTTATGGTTTGATGATAAGAGTAAACACAGTATCTGAAATCAAGACAGAATGGTTGGATACTATACATATATGGTGACAGTATGTGTGTGGAGGGGTCAAGATTAATATTTTTAATATCAACTAAATATTTTCAATATGAAAGATTTTTTTAACCTTATTTTACAGATAGAGAAACTAAGACACAGAAAGATAAAATAACTTTCCCAAAGTCAAAGTTATCCAATAATTAGTGGCAACAGGAAAGGAAAGTTTGAACTGAAATCACTCTTTTTCTTTTCCCAGAGAATATGTTTTCTGTTTGTTTGTTTACTAACTCATACTTTCTCTCATCTTACATGGACACTGGTATGCCAATTTTCTCTCCCAGAGAGTGGAAAATAATTCTATACAATATTAAGATTGGGCACTCTACTTCCATAGTGATACTGCCTTGGAAACCCAAGGAGGGGTTGACTCCATGGCAATGGTTGTGTTTTGCATTTATATAGATTACTATCTGTAATTTCCTTTGTTCTCTGTAGCATGGAATAAATGAAGCTCCTTTAGGTTTCAGGGAAGGAAGCTGATAACTGGATCCGGATATCTGGAGTTGCAGTGCCGAGACTGAAGGAAGAATGGAAAGGAAAAGGTTAAAGAGTGCACGGACAGACTGGCCTTCATGCCTCATTTTTGCCTTTGCCCAGGGCACGTGGTTGCTGAGCCACTAGCTTCACAGTCCAAAAATATGGCAGCATAGGCATCAGGCTACTGGCCAGAGTAGTTTTCATGATGCTAGAAAACAAACACTTTGCTGTGGAGTTGATTCCAACTCACGGCGAACTCCATGTGTTACAGAGTAGAACTGCTCCATCAGGTTTTCTTAGGTATAAAACCAGATCACCGGGCCTTTCTTCTGCAGTGTTGCCAGGTGGGTTTGAACCACCAACCTTTCAGTTAGAAGCCAAGTGCAAACTATTTGTAGCATCATGGACTTCTCAGAGTGCTACAACTCCCGGAAAACACTTGCCTGATCCACCTGTAGCACTGTTCCTATTTATTAGCACCTCATTTAGCTACTCCCTTTTCCCTCTCTACACTAGCAGGGGAGAAAAGGCTAGTAAGCATCTAAGCCCAGCAAGCTGTCCTGGAGAAAAACTAACATCAGTCTCCACACCACAACTTCTTCTACTCCCACTCCACAGAGACCTTTAAGAAAATTTAGGAAGGAAACCCTATGCAGTCAAGGTAACCTAGATAAATCGCATAGCCTAACTGAATCTAGACTGTGTTCCTTAAGACTATTTTCAAAAGGTTTATATATGGAGGGAAATTGTCTTTGTTGGTTGTCAGGGGTGAGAGGGGAGGGGAAGGAACACTGTAAAAAATAAAAAAAAAATGCACTGACCCATGTCACTTTAGTTTTGTGTATTTCACTATACATAAATTATGTTTCAATAAAATGCATTAAGAAAATTGCAAAAAAAAAAAAAAAAGGACCAGGTTTGTTGGTCTGATAGAGCCTGGTGGAATCCCTGAGACTATGGCCCCTAGCTGCCCTTCAGGTCTGGAATTGAATCCACTCCTATGGCTTTCAGCCAAACAAAAGATAGGCAGATGAGCTGAACATTTACATTAGATAGATATAGTCTTGGAGAGAACAATCATGGGAGAATTGAAAGGCTGTGTATGCCCTCTGGTAGCGTAGTGCCTAACGCACTTGACTGCTAACCAGAAGGTTGGCAGTTCAAACCCACCAGCCACTCCTCGGAAGGCAGGCTGGGCAATCTACTTCCTTAGTGATAGTGCCTCAGAAACCCAAGGAGGGGCAGCTATGAGTCGGGTTGGTCCCAACTTGACAGCACATGATAACAACAATGACATATGCACAGGGAGACAGCCCTGGAGGCAGGAGTGCATGGGAGGAAGGGACACAGGGAAGAGGTAACTATGGGGAGGATGTAGGAGGGGAGTTGTTGCATTGTGGGAAACTGCAGTCAATGTCATGAAACAATGTGTATGTGAGCTGCTCTATGGAAAGTGAGTTTGCTCTGTAAACTTTCACCCAAATCTCAATAATTTTTTTTTTTTTTAAAAAAAGGAAAAACAAATGGAATATCAAAATTCAATGCTTAACTTGTTCCCAAAATGATCAGGATCTTGGCAATTCTCTATTGTCATCAGCAATTATAATTTTAGGGTCCAGTTTTTTAAAAAAGAAAAGACATTTTCAATAAACAAAGACTTTTTCAATGTCGCCTTCTATATTAATGAAGGGCTCACTGGAAGAACACAAAGGCAAAGAAACCTTGCAAAAGTTGAACCACCCAGCTCCACAAAGACCCAGGAATGGTGGTATAATTTGGCACTGATGGAACTAGAAATGAGTCCCATATAAGCCTAGGGAATCTTGGCATCTAGAGTCTGTGACTGTCATTCATGACACTCAGCCACACTTGACCTCTCTCTGTCTCTTTCTCCCACCTGCCTTCTACATCTACTTATTTCTGTATACTCTGCATAGCTCTTTTTTACTTCATAGCTTCCACTTACTCATGGTTTCTGTTCTATCATAACTTGAACTTGAATATGAATCATGATGGCCTCTCTATAGCCAATTGCCCAAATAGCTTTAACTTCAATTTTAGCTTCTCCTACTACCTAATTTCCAACTTCAAATGTTTAAGAAATGGAATCTGATTTACTCATCTTTTCCTATCAGGCCATGTCAAGACAAGCCTATAGGAATAGCTATCCCTGAGTCAAAAGTCCACCTGCCCACCCCTGTCCAAGCAGTTGTGGCTGGGTGCTGGAGAGAGAAGGCTGGTAATCCACATAGGGCTGCCCCTTCATCAGAAACTGTGGAAGTATCAGGCATTTTAAGCTTGGTGTGTCTGCCTTTGGCCTTACTATAATGCTCCATTGTACATAAATTAGCATGGATACTAATATTGTTGTTGTTATTATATGCCATCGAGTTGAACCCAACTCATAGCAACTCCTCCTTGGGTTTCCGAGGCGGTATCACTACAGAAGTAGATTGCCCAACCTTCCTTCCAAGGAGTGACTGGTGGGTTTGAACCACCAGGCTTCTGATTAGCAGTCAAGTGCCTTAAGCACTATGCTACCAGAGCTCCTATGGATACTAATAGCCAAAATGAAAATAAAAAATAGAGAAATTTCCCAAGGTTTACCTAATCCAGCATGAAATCTCTGACAAAAAGACCAAAGAATGCTTTAAAAGAAGACATGTTGATTTCCACGAAACTTCTATTCTCTCCTTTTCTGTCTTTTATGGGTCTTTTCTTATTTTCATATTTTATTTTTCATTCGCTCTCTCTAGTGCTTTCTAGATGAGTTCTTCTGACCTATCTTGCAATTCACTAAATCATTCTTCAGTTGTGTCTAGTCTACTTAACCTATTTGTTGAGGCATTTAGTTTTGCTTTGTGTCTTTTTGTTTTTTAACACAGTGGCAATGTTTTTCATTTCTGGCTTTTCTATTTGATTCTATTTCAAATTTTCCCGTTTTTCCTTTTTTCTCTTATGACATTCCTTCCTTTATCTTTAAATAGTTTAGACATGCTTATTTTAAAATCCTTTTAAGATTCTCTATTTTATTTAGTTTTCAGTTTATTTGTTGCTTCTGCTGGTTGCCTTTAAGGTGGTAAGTATACTTAAGTTCTTTGTAGTTTTTTTTTTTTTGCTAGTGAGCTTATCTTCATAAGAAGTCCATGGTGTTTTGTTGGGGGGAAAAAAAAAGTATATATATATATATACACACACACACACAC